TTTGCCGTCTAACGCACCCCATCAGAGACTTTCTGTATGATATGATCGGCGGTAAGTCTTGTCTGTCCGGGAAAATATGAATTGCGCAGCAGTAAAAGCGAGGACGTGGACCAAGAGTTCCTAGTAGATCACTAAAGTTAGATCACTGAAGTGTTTTATCTTCTTGGAAGTTTGCCATAATTTAGGTGGGACTGGCTTATCTTATGAATTTCCGTTTTCTTTGACCTACCTCAACCTTCTTTGTTTGGGCGTGCAAAACGAGAAAGCGTATATGAGACACAGATAACTCCCTAGCAGATAAAGCCAACTTACTGAAGATATGGATGAAGATGGAGGCGTTCCCTTGTAATAATACCGTACTGTATCAGCCTGGTACTGTATATCAATTTTCGGAAAACTACTGAAGAGACCCCGGGGGTGACATCGACTTCGCGGCATTTGGTGCAGGTGTGATGCTAGAGGATTCCGGCCCCCGGGCCCGGACCCGGGCAAAGGATTTGAACCTTATCGAAAATAATACTTCCATAATGACAATAATCTAACTTAAAGAAACCCTTTCAAAGGTTTGCAGGACCATAAAGGACTATCTATTTGAAGACTGATTACCAAAATCTAGACATTAAATTGCCGCATGCAGCGCATAGAGCTTACTTTATATCGCACACTTGTACCCCGCGCTCAGAGAGGAGTGCGTGACAAGCTAAAACGAACGTTTGGAGGTAACTGAACCAGACTAGACCTCGAATGGTCGTCCTTCTTTGCTCAGAGTAAAATTATGCTCAGAGTAAAATTCAATGAGAAAAAAAGAAGAGTTTCACGAACATCAGGAAGATTGAAGGCTGCAAACAGAGAGGGGCGTACCAGAAAGGGCGGAAGTAGAGGTCGCTACATGATACGAAACATATACATTTACATATATGTTTTTTTTTTTCAAGAAAGATTAACAACTAAATCTAATAAAAGAAAGTAATGCCGGAAGAGAAGGTGTCGAATTAATATCTTTTCACTACTAGCTCCAATTGTAATAAATTCTATCAAAGATAGTTTATACGCCAACATATGGCAACATATACTCAAAACTCCATCCTCTGCACGCAGTGACTGCCTCGTTCCCGGTACATACATTTATTTGTATTTGTATGAAGGGGTTTTATGGGAAGGGCCAGGGTCGCGTTGACCTGGGTACCAGAAGTTTTTGCTCACGCAAGCCATGAACCGCGCGTGAAAAGTCTCTGGCACCCCGAGGTAGGGTCGCGTAGTCTTCATCTCGATTTTGCAGTCTATGAAAAAAGATAGTTCCTTTTTCCTTTTAGACTGTTTACGGTCCTCTATTTTCTCGCAAAATCACGGTGACCGAGGGCTTACTATAATCTGCAACCATCTTGATTTCAAATCAATTTTTAGTAAACCCAAGGATGTAGATGGAAAATGGCTGCACATTCCGTTGTGAGTTCTGAGTAATCGATCGCGACGATCTTACGGAGGACTGCGAGCTGTCGTCCTTCTTTCCTCAGGGACGAAAAATAAAACTATGCAAATTAATGGTAAAAAGGAGGAGCCATTTTGGATAGATGGTAAAAAATCATTTCTTGGCTGGAACTTCCGCCTTCGTGGCCTCATGGCCCACTGCTCGCACCTCACGCGTGCACTCGATCCACTGTTCCTCAAAGGAAAAATACCGTAATAACCGCAAAACAGGCTGCTTGTAGCCTAATCTTGCTGGAGAATACATAGAGGACCGTAAACAGTCATTTTTCTATTTGTCACGGAATCATTATTACCATGCGTTATCACTCAGTGATGCAGCTTTATCCTTTATTTTTGTTCGTTGATATATGGGGCAATAAACGAGATCATAGTCCAAAATTTATATAAAAAAAGAATAAAAGGAATGAGGAAAGAAAGGAGCCTGTCTTGTGATATCCTATTACAGTCCACGTAGTTGGAGAAGTAGAGGGAATGAGAAGTGCGCTTATTCGAGTGGGGAGTAGTGCCAATTTACATTAGTCTAATTAGTTTGATCACGATATGGTTCACACCAAGAGAGAATGAGCTTTCTTGGTGCACACGTACTAGTCTTGCGTTTTGAAACGTCCAAAAAGCGTGTTAAAGTACATTAATTTGAGGACTTTCGAAGGTCTGTGTCGCTTTAACAATGCATAACTATTTACGTAACTTTTTATGTAGATAATTATGCACGGCACATATAGTTAACTAGACTGCTATTTTTGAGCCTCTGATTTAATTCAGATAATAACCTCTTTAGCTTCCTTTAGTGCCGCTATTTCCGTGTTTATGCTTAAACACTGACTTGTATGATATTGTATTCACAGTGTATTGAGTAGTCTATATTTAATCTACAATGGAGGTCAAAAGTGTTGGGACCTTTCCAGTGATATTAGTAAAACTAGCGACTCCTCCCCTCCCACCCCAAACAAAGTTGAATTTGGAGCAAAATGGGTGAGAATGAGTGTTTTTTTGGCCACAACATTGCTAGGGGGAGTGGGAGAACGACGGGATGAACCCAAAGCCGAACAAAAAAATTGTCCTTAGGAGCAGGGTTCTACGTAACAATTGCTTGGAAGAGCTTTTTCACACAGTCCCAAGTTCTTTTGTCCTCCATTGTACAACACGGAAGTATGAGGAGGTGATTTCACTTTCTATCAATGGCGAAAACGAATCACACATGTCTCCACGTGGTTTTTCAGTTTCCTATCTCACGATTTTCCTTTTTACTCCTAAATTTCTTTGGTGGGTTCTCATGTTTTTCAGATTCCAACAGTAATCCGGGACGCTGTTAAATAGTATGGGCGGAACTATCAGTAAAGCAAACCATTACCCCAAGAAATCAATAACGTTTGTAAACCAGGAGTCGTCAACGAGCGAAATCGGACGAACAATTTATGGATTGAGTTTGATTAAGTTCGATTGAGTTCGATGACTGAACGTTCGATTAACTAAACCGGGATATGAATACTCTTCTTTTTGTGTCTACAGTTGACCCTAACCTCCCTGTTATAGTAGTCCACAATGAATCGCATTAATTTGACTGGGATAAGTTTAACATAGTTAAGTAGTGTAGAGTACATATTACCTACCTTCTTGGTATTAAGGTATAGGCATAGGTAACATAACAAGTAAAGGCGGTAAGTATACAGGCGAAGAAATTGCTGGAAGAACCTTTCGGTCTCAGGAACGTGATAGTGACCTATGATGTAATTATTCTAGGAATACTGTAGTTTACTTCCTTTCAGCTATGTTATGTACAAATAGTGATTGGTTCATTGCTAAAGGAAGCTGGAAAGGGAAATTTTTCCATGGCAATCAACAGTTAAATCACACGCCCTAGTTTCAATAGCCTGTTCCAGGCTCTCAGATAGTGGGGAAGACACAAAAGTAAAAGGCGCGCGAAAAGTTGGCGGGGCGGGAAAAAGAAAAAAGGAAGTTTTCCCAGTTTCCTACCGTTTTATTTTTGCGCTCGCACTTTCTCAATTCTGCCGACCCGACCACCTGGGAGCGTGGATCAGGCTATAGATTCCAGGAATAATAGATCCGCTGCAAGGCGTACATGTGACGAGGTGTGTCGATGGACGCATGTACGATTCAGGGCTCCAGGCTCCTAATCTAGACCTAAGGGTCATGACCGACACAAGTTGTGCTTTCTCAGCTTCTGCTTTGTCTTATCATCATCATCATCATTATCATCATCATCGTCATCATCATCATCGTCATTATTATCGTCATCATCATCATCATCGTCATCATTATCTTCATCATCGTCACCATCATCACTCAATGGACCCCTTGGTAAGCTCTTTAAACAACACATAAATATTTATTCTTACACTTTTACTTTTTCTAGGCAAGTTTGCTGCACTGTGACCTATAGTTATCTTCTTTAGCCATTTCCATGTTCCAAAGATGTCAACGGATCCAGTTGTTCCAAGTCCTTCAAACACTGTCCATGCATCTTCTTTTCTCTCCATGATTTAACTTTTTCTTCTTCTGCTACTACTTCTTCCTTTTTGTATTGGTCTGTTTTTATAGCAACATCGATGTCTAAACTCACCATCACAACAAATGCTTCTACTATCCCCATCAACTATCTTCCATTACTCTTCCGTAATCAAATCCTTCTCACGTACAAACCAGAACTGTCTCATGAATCTGGATGCAACTTTCTCAAATTATTGAAACCCGTACACCTGTATAAAGCCTGTTAATGTCACTTTTCAGGGTGAAGTACACCATGCATGGTCGTCACTTTCCAACTCTTTCTGTTCCATTCCTCAGTTCCTCCAATCCACTTTAGAACCCCTACCCCCTACCGCGCGAAGCACGGCAACCCCCCTCAATTGACTGCTATGATCATTTTTATCCAGTTAGTTTTGAGCTCAAAATTAGCTTAAGGCGTCTCTTCAAGACAGAATAATGAGTCAGAGGGGGAAACGCCCAGTTTAGCACTGGGGCAATACGTTTTTCCAAAGTCACAGTTTTTTCTGAGTAGCCAAGCCTTCAGGCTTCAAGCCAGGCCTTCTGGCTAGTTTCCAGTTCCCCGTTCAAATTCGCGGGAACTCCGCGACACTCCCAAGCTAGGAGAAACTTCCTTTACCGGAAGAAAGGAGTCTTTGCATCTGTCCTCTTGCTCTAGGTGGGACGCAAAGTGCTTGAGGTTATTTCCTCGGATTCTTTTAACTGTTCTCCATCCTGCGTCATTTCAATTTCTCGACCACTATCGAATTTTAATGGGTAGAGAAGATTTAGGGGTCTCTTGAGCACTTTCTTGGTTGGAAGAAGAACTTTGGCTGCCCAGATTTTCCTTCATTGCTTGAAATCAGTGCTGTAATTTTTCCCATTTTCCAGGCCCCATGTGGAAAATCTTCCTTTAAAAGCACTATACTACTTACTTTAGGCTCTTCTGCTGCTTGAATTCGAGGACACTTAACATGTGCTTGGCCCCTTTCTTGGAGGTTAAGTAAGTGATCATCTTTCCAGACTCTCTAAAGTGAATTCAGGCGTTGCTGACCTTTATCCCAGATCTCTAGTAATTTATCAGTTGAGCTCTTCTTTCCATAGTCTGGATGATGTGGGTTATGGGTCTCAATTACCGGAATTCCAGACAGGAAGAGGTCGGCTGGGGTAAGTGAAAATCCAGAACCGAAGTCCTCACTGACTTAAACAAGTGGAGGAGAATAAATAACAGCCTCCACCTCTGCTAGAAAGGTTTCAAGTTTGTTCTCAGTCAGGCAGATTTTGCCAATTGATTTCTTAAGAGCTCCCTTACACCCATCCAATGGGCCAGTTCCACTCTAAAGTTCCATTCAATTCCTTGCTTGGTAGTGTAACTTTACACCTCATGGTTTGAACTTGTTTCCTTCCAGGCTTTATCAATGGCAGTTTTCGCGAGCTTAAATTGTGGGACATGATCTAGTATAATTTGTGTAGGTTTTCCGTTTTCTAGCTTTCTGAACAAATCTTAAAAGCCACGCCGTAATTCGAAGAAGTCGAAGAAGGGAAGAGTATTTCTTTTCATACATTCCCAAGGGGGTGACAAAAGGGTGTTGATTTATCTTTGTTTTCAACCTTCCCTTCATTGACGTTTTCTCCAGTCAAGTTGGAGGTTTCGTAGAAGGTTTTCGGGCCCTTTGTTTCAATTTCAATCTTCTCTAATGTCTCTTTAGTAATCATTGGGATATCCCAGGTTGTCCATGTTTACTTACTGTCCTGAAGCCATTTTGGTCCATGCCACCAAAGTTCTCAATTGTCTAGAACTTGTGCTTATATTAGGATGGGCTTATACAAGGAGGGAAATTTGCCAAGGTGTTGATGGCTTCCACTCGGTTGCCAGCGTTAAGTTCGCTTTTTAGTATTAACCTAATGAGTCCGTACTCCTTTCTTATCTTCTCTTTCATTGCTGCATGCTGGATGCCCGCTCCTTCTTTCAACCCCAGATATTTGTAAGTTCTTTCTTGCTCCAGTTCTTTGATGGTGACAGAGTTATCGAAATGAATATAGGTAGTACTGGTAAAGCGACCTCTTTTGAAGATGGCCCTAGCACTCTTTTCAAGCCAAACTCCATCTTAATGTCACTGCTGAATGTCTTCACGATTTTGAGGAGACTGCTGTTGGTCATCATCTTTGGCGAAGGTTTTTGAGGTCATCCATTTAGAAGAGATGATTCAGCTTGCCGCACTGGGACATATACCCGTAAATACTATCGTTGAGCATCGAGCTAAGCGGAGAGCTAGGGCAATACAGAAAAGCGGAGATGATAGTGAATCTCCTGGAAAAATGCTACATTTGATTTCTATTTGCCTGGAAGAGATTGACCCTCGGGAGTGGTTGAGTTGTAGGGTTGTTTTGCAAGATTTCATATTCTCTGCTATGAACCTTGTGATAGTTGGGCATACTTTGTACATTGCAAGTTGCCAATATCTCCCGGTGTAGATCTTATATTATTAAATTCCTCAGTGGGAGCTACGGACTGCCCTGCCTTTTCTTGAAGGATTTTAAGTTCCCAATCAGCGAGTCTGTTGTTCTTGATAATATCCCTGCAAGTTTGTTTGCGTCTGAATGAAGCCTGGTTGTGGGTTTTGTTGCTGCCAGATTTTATATTCAGCCTTGGTGGTAGTAGTCTCTAAGGGTTATTCACAGCCATGTAGTAGGCTTCCATGACAAGTTTGTACTCCTCTCTTGTCCGCTTTTTCCTTGCTTCTTTCGGCGGGTTTGGGTTGGATGTAGTTAGAAGGCCTCTGTGAGGGGTTTCTTCTAGTATCGGGTGAGGGGAGTGTTTTTCAGTAGTCAACTTTTTTACCTCAGCCTGGTTCCCTGCCGAGGGACGCGGTCCTTGTTCACCAGCGTGAGGACCGATGTCGTGTGACATTCTTGTATATTGATTTTCCATTAGAGTTAATTATCAGGTTTTTCTGTAGGGGACCTAACCCTTAGCCTATTGTCAACCAAGACCTAATCCATTGGGCGATGGAGCTGTAACCCCAACGAGGGTGGCTTAGGCCGGTCGCGGACACTTGCCAAAGGTGCAGCCCCAAACTCTGGTGGGCGGGAGCGTCCACTTTCCCGTGGTAGGCTGAGGCACCAACCTGTCCTACCTCAGTGCCCTTTCATTATTTTATTATTATTATTATTATTATTATTATTATTATTGTCTCTTCTATCACAGTCTTTGCTGGTGTTCTTTTTGTTCATCAGTCGGGCGCAAACTATGCACTTGGAGCATCAGTCACTCAAGTCAATCATTCTGTTCATACACTAAGCACCTTTCTCAGGATTCGCGCAGATCCCAGCCTGCAGATCTTCTGAATCTCTGTCACAGTAGCTCTCTCTGATACTTTCTTGATGTTTTCTTCCATCCCCTTCTTTACTGTACCAAGCGCACCGACAACCATAAGGATCACTACGGTTTTCATATGCCACATTCTCTGTATTTCTAGTTCTAGGTCTTTGTACTTGCTTTTCCTTTCGATTTCCTTCAGTGCGACGTTTCTATCTGATGGAACAGTGATCTCAATCAGTTTGCAGGTGGAATTCACTGAATCTTTAACGAAGAAGATATCTGGTCTGTTCGCTGTTATAGTTCTATCAGTATTGACTGGCATGTCCCACAGGGCGGTGATGTTCTTGTCTTCAGTGTGCATCACAGCCTCTGGCTCGGGTTGGTACCATTTGTCTATAATCTCGATATCACGATCCTTACAGATGCTCCAGTGGAGATATGCTGCAGCATTGTCGTGCCTGGAGATGTACTCCGTTTTGGCTAATACCTCACATCCAGATACAATATGGTCCACTGTCTCTTCATGTTGTGGACACATTTTGCATTTGCTCTTCACTGGTTGGCCACATATTACTTCTGGTAATTTCTGGTGTTTATTGCCTGGTCTTGAGCTGCGATAAGTAGTCCCTCTTTCTCCTTTCAGATTACTTGACAACCATTTGTTGGTGGTGACTGTGTCTACATGAGGCTTCTCTAGGTTCCTTGGATACTGGACATGCAATGCTTTGTTTTTCCACTTTTCTTCTTTCATTGATTTCATCTTAGACTTGAACATGTGTTTCAGGGCTTTAGCATTTTCTGAGGCTGATTTATCTTCTCTGTTCATAATCTCTGGCATTGTTACTTCCCTTTTGAACTTAGTAGCAGTCTTGGTTATTGAATGTTTGGCTTTATATCGTTCATGTTCAAGCTCCTGCTTTGAATATTGCCCTTCCTTGTGCTTCAGATTGTGATTGAGCCCTATTGTTGCTGTTTTGATGCCCCTTCCTCCATCTTTTGTTGGGATGTACAGCCTTTCCACATCTGCTTTAGGATGTAACATCTTGTGCATGTTCAACAGTTTGCGTGTTTTTGTGTCAATCTTCTTTAGCTTTGAGATTTTCCAGTCAATGATGCCAAAACTATATTGCACAACTGAGACTGCAAGACTATTGATAGCTGCTATTTCGTTTCTTCCATTGAGCTCAGTTCTTAGGATCAATCTTACTCTCCTATTATATTCTTTTCTTATCGTCTCTTTCATTTTGCTATGCTGGATACCATCACTTCCATCTACACCCAGGTATTTTTATTCTCCTTACTGGTCCAACTCTTGTATTTGTGTGTCATCATCTATTACTATGTTTCCAGTTGAGGCCAGTTTACCTTTCTTGAAACTGGCTTTGGCACATTTCTTTAGTCCAAATTCCATACGATATCATCATTGAATTGTTTCACTATTTTCATTTCTCCAACTTGTTCTTGCTCGTTCTTGCTGTACAATTTTAGATCATCCATATAGAACAGATTGCTGATTGGAACACCTGTGTTTAAGATCTTGTAACCATACCCAGATGTAGCCAGCTCTGATGTTAAAGGCACAAGGGCTAAGCAAAATAGCAGAGGTGAGAATGAATCTCCTTGAGATCCCTCTTTTGATCTTGATCTGATCTGTTGTGATACATCCATCATCGTAAGATAGCTTCATTGTAGTTTTCCAGTTGGTCATTGAGGTTTCCATGAACTTGATTTCGTTTTTCATTAAATCTTTACATCTGTAAGGTCCTTAGTATCCAACTATGAGGGACACTATCATAAGCTTTTCTGTAATTTATCTAAGTCATACTCAAGTTCTTTTTCTTCTTTTTGCAGTCTTCTGTGATCATTTTATTCATTAGAAGCGGATATTATTGTTATTAAAAGTAGGTTGGGTTTGACCGTCCGGGTGAACATAGGCCTGAATAGGACTGTTGTTGTTGACACTGACTGACGTTTCGTCAGCCTGCGCGGTAGTCATCTTCAGAGTCAAAGTGAGTTGTATCACATTAGTTGATGGTATTATACTCTGGTTATTGATCTGATTGGTCAATTACGTCGCCATGTTATTGGTCGTCTGTCAGTTAAGCCATGAAGCTATTGGCTATGAATTCTCACAATGTAATTGGTGCGTTTCGATCCGTCTATTGTCAGAGTCAACAGTCGTCTATTGTTAGTCAAATTGTCAGTTGTCCAGTTGTTCTCTCGTAGTTAGTTTTGCGATATTTCGTCAATAAGTCGTTTGACGGTGCCGGTAACTGTTGACTACAATTCAGTGGCGTTTGTTCTAAGTTAGTAAACCAGCTTTCTAAAGCGAGTCGTTGATAGTAGTCTGTAGAATATGTATTAAATGTCGCAGAGTCCCAGTCGATTTGATGTTTCGTCTGTAAATGGTGTTCAGCAATGTGATTGTTGACGTCCATGATTTCTCGTCGCTCGTTTGTGTTCGGTCAGTCGCGTGCTAAGGGTTTCTGCCGGTTTCACCAATGTAAGAAGCCTGGCAGTCGCAGCATTTGATCTCGTATACTGCTCCCTGTCTGTCTTCTAGTTTGTCTTTGTCTTTGGCATTAGTTATAGTCATCGTAAAACAGTTATCGGTTTGTGTGTAACACGTATATTGTAAGGTTGTAGTATACGTACGATAGCTTCAGAGGTGCCTCTGATGTACGTACCTTTATAACACTGATTCCAACACTCAGACCAACGTCAACTCTGGCCCTGTTACGACAGCGTCTATACCGTACATAGAGAGAGAACTAAATTTTCTGTTTTTAAGGGGCGAGAAAACACTTGTCAAGCGGTTTGAACTTTAACGTAAAATGAAAGAAAATCTCGAAAACGACTCATACTGTCAGCGCTTGAGGAAGGCATTGAGAAAAGCGCCACACGATAGCTTCAGAGACATTCTCATGTTTTGGGTGCACACACCACCGACACAAGGAGGAAGATTTGCAATCACGTTTTAGAAGAGAAAACACTTATCAAAAAGTTTAAACGTCAAGATAAAGTGGGCAAAAACCTAAAAAGGGAATGTTCGCAGGACCTTTAAAGAAGACACTGCGAAAGTGCAGTACCCCAGCTTCGAACTTACATGCGGTCAGGCGCTTTTTCGTCGGGGAAAGGGAAAAAAAGAACGCCTGATACATTTACTCCATGAGTCATCTGCCGCCCCTGATTAGGGTTTAGGGTTATTTTTATTTGATATTTAGAAGCTCATGGGAAATTTAGAAAAAAAATGGAAAAAATATTAATTAAATTTGGGATTTTGCTATGGTTTCATTACTTTTATGAGTTCACACAGGTTTTTTCTTTTAAACTTGAGATGGAAACTGCCTTGAGGTTCAATTAAGAGTCAGCAGTGGTCCTGTTCAGCGGTTTTCCTCACGAATATTATATCCCATCAGTCTTAGCCACTTCGCACTGAACAATATGGCAGAATCTGAAAGTTCGGAGGCTTCGGTGAATCTGAAGCGGTTCCTACAGCTCAACCGAGCAGAGAAAGCATAGTAGCATCGCTTTTAGTCACCTTGTAGAGACTGACGCATTCCTGTCTTACCAATAAATTAAGTTTCTGACTGAGTCGTTATCGTGATATTTATAGCAAAATGCAGAGAAAATGTTTGGGATGTTGTCATATCCCATGAATCCTTATGCGCTTCGTACATGCGCAGTAGGTTCTTCTTGCCATGTGCTTACAGACTTGAAGTAAAATATTGTTGAGTTCTCTGCGTTCGTTATACAATTTCCTGCTACAATACAAACTACAAATTCCTGGTACATTACAAACTGGCGACGAGGATGAAGACTTAAGGTGCCAGCGATGACTACACAGCAATTTGGCACTTTGGAACCGTTCGATGGAGCTGACTTTACGGATTACAGTGAACGCTTGAATGCCTACTTCACCGCACATAACATCGGTCAAGTTGCAGCAGACGCCAGCGAAGCAGCAAAACAAGAGGCAGACAAGAAAAAGGTCGCCGTTACAATCTTCTTGATCGGTAAAACCGCTTACAGTACGCTCAAAGATCTCTGTCTTCCTGATTTACCCGCTGATAAAACTTACGATCAGCTTTCACAAATTGTGAAAGACTACTACAAACCTAAGGTACTTGAAGTTGCCGAGACCTACCGCTTCCATCACACTGTACAAAGTGAAACTGAAAATGTAGCGGAGTATGCAAACAAGCTAAAACGCTTATCTGTTCACTGCAATTTTGGTCCTTACCTTACAAGAGCCCTCAGAGATCAATTTTTTGGGGGAGTGAGAAGTCAGACTACTAAAAAGAAACTACTTTCAGAAGACAGGACATTCGATCAAGCTCTCAAGGTCGCTCAGGCCGATGAACTGGCTGAGAAGGAATCTAAGTTACTCCAGGGCAACTCCGACACTTCCAGTGCTGGAATTCTGCCTGTAAATGCTGTTCACAAGAAATCTTTTTCTGCTCAAGAAAGCCAAAGGCAAACAGATCCTAAGTCAAAAATGGGAGGAAAGCAGTGTTTTCGGTGTGGCTCTCCACAACATTTGGCTGACAAGTGCAGTCATGTCGAATCTACATGTAATTACTGTGGGAAGCCTGGGCATTTGGCTAAGGCATGCTTCAAGAAAAAGAAAGAATTTGGTGGTAACAACACCACTCACCAGGTAATAGCTGCTCCAACATCAGGAACATGTACCAAGGAGGAGCACGAGAATTCAGTCCCTTCTTGTACAGTTTATATGAAAAGTGTGAAATCTTCTGAAAATTCGTCATTTACACCGCCCTTATACAAACTTACCGTTACCATTGAAGACCAGGAAGTCCCTATGGAAGTTGATACGGGCAGTTCTGTGACATTGTTGAGCTCTGCTGATTTTACCAAAACCGGAGGACAAGTAACTACACTCAAACCCCCTCCAGTGCTTTTGAAAAGCTATACTGGGGACATTATCCAGTGTCTAGGCGAGAACGAAATGGATGTCAAAGTTGGAGACCAGGTGAGTACCCTGTTAATTCGTGTAGTTCAGGGACCATCAATACTGGGGCGGGACATGATGTCCAAGTTTACATTACCTTGGCAGAACATTTTTAGTACGATTTCAACTGCAACTGAGGATATAGTTCAGCAGTACTCTGATTTGTTTGACACTAGTTCAGTGGGAAAACTTAAAGGAATCCAAGTGTCATTGGAGTAAGTGATGAAAGCCCTGTGTTTACCAAAGCACGAGTAGTACCATTTGCAATTCGGTCTAAGTACGAAAAGGGCCTTAGAGAAATTGGTGGCAGAGGATATCATTGAGAAAGTAGAGCATTCCGAGTGGGCATCACCTACAGTCGCTATTGTTAAAGCAAATGGGGACCTGAGAATTTGTGGGGACTACTCTGTCACCATCAACATATTTTCAGTCTTAGAACAATACCCCATACCAACTCTGGAGGAACTACTGAGTACATTATCTGGGGGAAAAAAATTCACTAAGATTGACCTTTCTCAAGCATACCATCAACTAGAGCTTACACCAGAAAGCAGAAGATACACCACAATTAACACTCATTTGGGCTTGTACCAATACAAGCGCCTGACTTTTGGAGTGAGTAGTGCTGTTTCAATCTTCCAACGCACTAAAGAAAATGTCCTTAAGGACCTTCCAGGCTGCTGTGTCCGTATTGATGACATCCTTATTTCCGGAGAAACAGATGAAGTCCATCTGGAAAACCTTCATCGAGTACTAACTCGATTACAGGACTGCGGTCTTAAGCTTAACCCTGACAAATTCTTTTTCATTCTGGATAAAGTAGAGTATCTTGGTACTACCATTTCTGCTGCGGGGATTTCACCGGCTGCAGAGAAAGTGCAGGCAATAAAGGATGCAGCACCTCCAACAAATGTTTCTGAATTACAGTCATGGAGTTGGTCAAAACTGGAACAGGACGCTTTTGATAACATCAAGGCTGCTCTGTGCTCTGATTCGGTTTTACGTCACTATGATCCTATGGCTGAATTAGTTCTTCAGTGTGATGCTTCTTCAGTGGGTGTGGGAGCTGCATTACTGCAACCTGGACCTGATGGTACATTACAACCTGTTGCCTATGCGTCGAGGATATTGAACAATGCAGAACAAAATTACTCCCAAATTGAACGTGAGTCATTAGCAATTGTTTTTGGCGTGACCAAATATCGCCAGTACCTGTTAGGTAGACACTTCAAACTTCTAACAGATCATAAACCTTTGATTACTTTACTTGG